AGGGAGCATTTCCTCCAACAAAAAAAAAACCATTGGCACTAATTAATGGTGCTATTAAGTGTCCGCAAATGATCAGTTTCTTTCTTATGAAGGGGTGGGATGAAAGTTCGACTTCTTTCCACTGCGTTTTGAACAATCTTTTCATTGTCTGTTGNGAGAGGTGTACTGAGACAGGTGTACTGAGTGGGGAACTGAGACAGATGTACTGAGTGGGGGAACTGAGATAGGTGTACTGAGGCAGGTGAACTGAGTGGGGGTACTGAGAAAGGTGTACTGAGGCAGGTGAACTGAGTGGGGGTACTGAACAAGTGTATTGAGACAGGTGAACTGAGACAGGTGAACTGAGTGGGGGTACTGAGACAGGGATACTGAGGCAGGTGTACTGAGTGGGGGTACTAACACAGGTGTACTGAGACAGGTGAAATGAGACAGGTTTACTGAGAGGTGTACTGAGACAGGTGTACTGAGTGGGGGAACTGAGACAGGTGTACTGACACAGGTGTACTGAGGCAGGTAAACTGAGTGGGGGTACTGAGACAGGGATACTGAGGCAGGTGTTCTGAGACAGGCGAACTGAGACAGGTGTACTGAGACAGGTGTACTGAGTGGGGGAACTGAGACAGGTGTACTGAGGCAGGTGTACTGAGACAGGTGTACTGAAGGGGGTATTGAGACAGGTGTACTGAGTGGGGGTACTGAGACAGGTTTAGTGAGGCAGGTGAACTGAGTGGGGGTACTGAACAGGTGTACTGAGACAGGTGAAATGAGACAGGTGTACTGAGACAGGTTTACTGAGTGGGGGAACTGAGACAGGGGTACTGAACAGGTGTACTGAGGCAGGTGAACTGAGAGGTGTACTGAGACAGGTGTACTGAGTGGGGAACTGAGACAGATGTACTGAGTGGGGGAACTGAGATAGGTGTACTGAGGCAGGTGAACTGAGTGGGGGTACTGAGAAAGGTGTACTGAGGCAGGTGAACTGAGTGGGGGTACTGAGACAGGTGTACTGAGACAGGTGTACTGAGGCAGGTGAACTGAGTGGGGGTACTGAGAAAGGTGTACTGAGGCAGGTGAACTGAGTGGGGGTACTGAACAAGTGTATTGAGACAGGTGAACTGAGACAGGTGAACTGAGTGGGGGTACTGAGACAGGGATACTGAGGCAGGTGTACTGAGTGGGGGTACTAAGACAGGTGTACTGAGACAGGTGAAATGAGACAGGTTTACTGAGAGGTGTACTGAGACAGGTGTACTGAGATAGGTGTACTGAGTGGGGGTACTGAATAGGTGTACTGAGAGGTGTACTGAGACAGGTGAAATGAGACAGGTGTACTGAGAGGTGAACTGAGGCAGGTGAACTGAGTCGGGGTCCTGAGACAGGTGTACTGAGGCAGGTGAACTGAGTGGGGGTACTGAACAGGTGTACTGAGACAGGTGAAATGAGAGGTGTACTGAGACAGGTGTACTGAGACAGGCGTACTGAGGCAGGTGTACTGAGACAGCTGTAGTGAGACAGGTGTACTGAGACAGGTGTACTGAGTGGGGGAACTGAGACAGGTGTATTGAGTGGGGATACTGAGACAGGTGAACTGAGACAGGTGTTCTGAGGCAGGTGTACTGACACAGGTGTACTCAGTGGGGATACTGAGACATGTGAACTGAGACAGGTGTACCGAGGGGGGATACTGAGACAGGTGTACTGAGGTACGCGTACTGAGACAGGTGTACTGAGGCAGGTGAACTGAGGCACGTGTACTGAGACAGGTGCACTGAGACAGGTGCACTGAGGTATGTGTACTGAGACAGGTGCACTGAGGCAGGTGTACTGAGACAGGTGAAAAGAGGCAGGTGTACTCGGCAGGTGTACTGAGACAGGTGTACTGAGGCAGGTGTACTAGGCAGGTGTACTGAGACTGATGTAGTGAGGCAGGTGTACTGATAAAGGTGTACTGAGACAGGCGCACTGAGGCAGGTGTACTGAGTGGGGGAACTGAGACAGGTGTACTGAGGCAGGTGTCCAGAGACAGGCGTACTGAGGCAGGTGTACTGAGACAGGTTTACTAAAGCAGATGAACTGAGTGGGGGTACTTAGGCAGGTGTACTGAGGCAGGTGAACTGAGTGGGGGTACTGAGACAGGTGTACTGAGACAAGTGTACTGAGTGGGGGTACTGAACAGGTGAACTGACAAAGGTGTACTGAGACAGGTATACTGAGGCAGGTATACTGAGACAGGTGTATTGAGTGGGGATACTGAGACAGGTGAACTGAGACAGGTGTTCTGAGGCAGGTATACTGACACAGGTGTACTCAGTGGGGATACTGAGACATGTGAACTGAGACAGGTGTACCGAGGGGGGATACTGAGACAGGTGTACTGAGGTACGCGTACTGAGACAGGTGAACTGAGGCAGTTGTACTGAGACAGGTGCACTGAGACAGGTGCACTGAGGTACGTGTACTGAGACAGATGCACTGAGGCAGGTGTACTGAGACAGGTGAACAGAGGCAGGTGTACTCGGCAGGTGTACTGAGACAGGTGAACTAAGGCAGCTGTACTGAGACAGGTGTACTGAAGCAGGTGTACTGAGACAGGTGAACAGAGGCAGGTGAACTGAGGCAGGTGTACTAGGCAGGTGTACTGAGACAGGTGTACTGAGGCAGGTGTACTGAGACAGGTGAATTGAGGCAGGTGTACAGAGGCAAGTGTACTAGGCAGGTGTACTGAGACAGGTGTAGTGAGGCAGGTGTACTGAGACAGGTGAACTGAGGCAGGTGTACTGCGACAGGTGAACTGAGACAGGTGTACTGAGGCAGGTGAACTGAGGCAGGTTTACTGAGTGGGGGTACTGAGGCAGATGTACTAGGAACGTGTACTCTAACCCTAGAGACAATCTGAGGAGGAGAAATAAATTTTGATAAAAGTTCCTGACTGAAGTTATGAAGAGATTTCTTCAAATTACATTTTAAATATCTTGTTCAGCATAAACAACCAATGCCCTGAGACACAAATATAATTTATTCACTCCATCTAATCACAGTGTCAGAATCTTTTTGTACTTTTGAGTTCGATGCCTCTTTAACTGATCAAACACCTGATAAAATACCAACAGAAATCTGGTCCCGCTGTCTTTTAGTAGTTTAATGACTACCAGATAAAAATTCATTTCTGACACTATTAAAGATTTTTTAGTGTTTGTAAACAGGTTTAATCATCACTGTATATATATATATATATATATATATGTATACAGCTTTTTCACTTTTTAATGTGTAGATGATTTAGAGGTTGGTGGGTGTTTTTACTGTGATAAACATTTCCCACTAAAATCTACTCACACATCTCAAGATCAAACAGTCGGAATCCTCCTTCAAGTGCACTCCAAGCAAAGCAGCTGCTCCTCTCATCTGGCTTAAAGTCAGGTCCTGAATATTTTAACTGCTGCTGAAATAAGTTAAACATAACACAACATAAGTCCTCTTTGTTCATTACGTCCCTTTTTAGTTTAAGGTCACTTAGAACTTTTTATTTCTAAATGATTTTATTCCTTCATACCTTGACTTGACACTCTGAACGGCGAACTGTTAAAGACAACCGGATGAAGTATCACTTCCAGATTTTTATAGTTTCAGCTTGCGAAGGCGGAGTCGGCGGTGTTACTGCTATTCATAGAAAGCAGTTTAATCTTTAAGCACCTTTTCAAGCTTTTAGGTGCTTGTGTTTAAAATCCAGTAGTTGTCGCTGTTGTTTATCACTTTTCAAACCCAATCTGTGCTCTCTGTGAATACAGGTTGATCTTCTAGTATGCTGACCTACAACAAGATTATCATTACTCACTGTAATTATATCACCGTCTCCACATTTAAGACTAGACTTAAGACTTTCCTCTTTGATAAAGCTTATAGTTAGGGCTGGCTCAGGCTTGCCCTGTACCAGCCCCTAGTTAGGCTGACTTAGGCCTAGTCTGCTGGAGGACCCCCTATAATACACCGGGCACCTTCTCTCCTTCTCTCTCTCTCTCTCTCTCTCTCATATTCTATTACTGCATCTTGCTAATTCGTCCATTCTGGATGTCACTAACTCGGCTTCTTCTCCGGAACCTTTGTGCTCCACTGTCTCTCAGGTTAACTTGTATTGCAGTGGTGCCTGGATAGTGTGACGTGTGTGGTTGTGCTGCTGCCGTGGTCCTGCCAGATGCCTCCTGCTGCTGCTGCCATCATTAGTCATTAGTCATACTTCTACTGTTATTATACACATATGACTATTGTCACACATGTTAAGGTCTGGTTACATTTAGGCACAAAAACCACTTGGTTAGTGTTAGGAAAAGATCATGGTGTGGGTTAAAATGAAAAAGAAAGTGACAAACACATAAGCCGTGAGCCTGCTTCACCTCAGGCCTTTCCCAGCTGACCCAGAGCCGGTCGCGGCGCACCATCAAGGTAGAAATACGCCCGCCGGGAGCCGTTCAACACCGCAGACAGTCGGACCAATGGGCTGTCAGACCAATGACATGGACCCCTCCTTCCAACTGTCGTCTATCTCATCGTGTTCTGATAATACGGACCAATGACCTTTAGAGGGGACGTGGCTTAGCACAGCACGTAAACAGACCTAACTCTATCACTGTTGAGCCAATCATCATGCAGGATATGCTTCACCTGTCTAACCCTGACCACAGTTTCCTGTCTCAGGTCACTGTGAACACGTGAGAGTTCATTTTAAAACCTGTTGAACAAACAGAAGTTTTCTATGCTCAAATGTTCCTGCAGAGGTTTGTAGTGACCTTTTTGTTTATCTCATGGAGGATAAACATGTGTGTAATTGGTTCCACATCGTACCACTGGTTTCACTGGTTTCACACTGGCCCACAGGAACAGAACATGATGACTTTCAGCAAGTAAACAAGAATTTATAACATTTAAAAATTAAACTTAATTAAAAAGTTTAATAAAGAAAAACATTTCTTTGAGTTTTATTAAAAAACTCGTCCACAGAAAAATTTGATCACAAAATTACAAAGATTTTAATGTTATTATTTGTCACAACATAAACAATGTTCAGTACACACATATCAATCAATCAATCAATTTTATTTATAAAGCCCAATATCACAAATCACAATTTCCCTCACAGGGCTTTACAGCGTACGACATCCCTCTGTCCTTAGGACCCTCACAGCTGATCAGGAAGAACTCCACATACCGGTATATGTCAGTGTGTATATAGTGACTGACTGACTGACTGTGTGTGTGTGTGTGTGTTTTGAGGCTGTCTTTGGGATCGTCCTTTGCTGATATGTTTTTAATATATTACAGTTTTTCTCAGTCGCTTTGGTACATTTCTCAAATCATCCTCGACATTTGCAAAACAGTAAGTGCATTTCTCAAAACAATTCGTACAAATAGCAAAACAACCATGGATTACCTGAAAAAGCCAGTCTCTTGCTCAAAATCCTTAGTTCATCTCTCAAAAGTAAATATCTGTGTCAATGAATATGTCAGTGCCATGAGAATGACAAGTCCTTGTGTGATTGTGTACGGATAAGACAGTCAAATTGCTTAGTCATGTTGTCAATATAACAGTGTACTCTGGAGGGATGTTCTGATGTAAACTATGACTAAAGTTTTGATGACAATCATTGTAAATTGTAAGGTACACCTTAGTGTATGTGGGAGATTGATTGAAGAGACTGGACAAGATTCAAATTTACGCTTTTACTGTTTGTACTGTAATTTGTTGACAGACCATGTCATTGCGATACAGAAAGGAAAAGACAGCACTGCAGAGCACAAAGAAAAAACTCCTCCGCCATGCAGCCTCTCTCCTCTTCCTCTTCTTTTTCTCTCTGGCTGTTGACCCCGTCCAATTCCTTGTCCTTCCATTGTCAGACATTGTAACATTGTGTTGTGTTTCAGCTATATATATATACTTGCCAGCTGATGGTTCATGAGATGCACCTTTGAGCTATTTCAGAAAACTGGTAAATCATTGGTTGAGCTAATGCTTCACACATTTCCCTTCGTTAGAGAAAGTCAGGATTCACCTGGGAGCAATTTACCAGTTCAGGACAGATTTAG